CCTGGAGAGTTTCTGAAACTGTAACTCTTTAGGGAAGCGAAAGCCCCGTCATTCTCCCATGGAGGGGCTAGTGGTTTCAAACCATTGACCTTGCGGATCACAGACCAACACGGAACCACAACACACAACGAGGACTCCTCTTTCACTTAGCAAAGTGCTTTTGGGGTCTGGGGATAAGCCATGCTGAAGCATCTCTGTTTTTTGGCTGAGTTATCTTCCATTGTATGGATATACTATAATTTCTCTATTCACCTACAGATGGACATTTGGATTGTTTCTACCTTCCATGCACGGTGGCATTCAAATATCTAACACATCAATTTTGTTTTGATTCTCTTCTTTTATCTGTTACATATAAAATCATCTTTAAAAGAAAACTGCACTTGCGTCAAGTCAATTCTGACTAGTGGAGCACCAAGGCCTGTCAGGTGGAACTGTGCTCCGCAAGGTTTTCAATTGCCGAGCTATCAGAGGTAGATTGCCCAGCCTGTCTTCTTCCAAGACACCTCTGTGAACCCCCACCTTTAAGTCAGCTGTCAAAGGTGCTAACGGTCCACACCACCCAGGGACAATAACCTACCCAACAGAAATCAGAAGAAACACAGAAGAGGAAAACATGGGGGGGGGGGGGATCTAAAAGAGAACTACTGAGAAACATCGGAGGCCCGAGGTGGTACAGATGGTTCAACGTTCAGCCTCTAACAGAAAGGTGGAAGAAAGTCCTGGAGTCCTGTGTCAGGGGAGGCCTTGCCGTGGAAACCCTCCAGAGTGCATGGGAGGTTGCCATGAGTCAGAATCAACTGGATGGCATGGAGCTTTGTCTCACTGTTTTGTTTATTGGTAAAAATGAGCTCAAAGAGCAACCAAGTTAGGAAAATAACCCAGAATGAAAAGTTGTCACCAGTCCAAGAATTGTACTCTGACGTACCTTCCCGTGCTGTCCGACTCTTTCAAAACAAACGACAACGTCTTCCCACATTTCCAGTTTCTCGTATATCTGAAGGGCTGAACTGGTACATCCCAGCTGAGAGAGTAAATTTGCAAGCTGGCGCTAGAAAAATCAAGTTAAAAATGATTAATGGTTGTGGATGTAAAAAGAGATTCCTGTTCAACTTAGAAGTATACACATCTGCTTTCTTTCTTTTTTTAAAGGATTTGCTCTTGTACAAATGCCCGTTTTCTATAATTCAATCTCTTTAGGAAGAGAGAAAACAAAGACAACATAGAATCTAATTACTTAGGATACCAATTTCTTTCCTATAAACTAAGGACTTAATAAGCAAAACAAGTATTTCTTTTTACCTAGAGATCTGGTGTATGTATGTAAAGATCTGGTGTATGTATGTATGTAAAGATCTGGTGTATGTATGTAAAGATGAGAACCAGTAAATGGACAAGAAAAGATGCCAAGCAGTGGGTGCTGATAGTGTGAGGCGCACACACACTCCAGTGGCTGGGTACTGGAATCAGAGGGCAGCTCCGGCTCCTTCTCATTCTGTTCACAGATGGATTTTCAACACATTCAATATGAGCCATTGTGGTGCAGTGGTAACATGTTAAGCTGCTAACCGCGAGGTTGGTGGCTCAAAACCACCAGCCACTCTGCTGAGAAAGATGAGGCTTTCTACTCCCATAAAGAGCTACATTCTCAGAAACCGTCAGGGGCAGGTCGACCCTGTCCTATAGGGTTGCCATGAGTCGGAATCCATTTGATGGCAGTTGTTTTGGTTTTAGGGGTTTTTCCCCCCTAATAAATTTAGCTAGTCTTTTCCAGGTTAAAGGGGGCTCAGGAAAGTTTACATAAATGTATTCAAAACTAAATATACTGCGGTTTACAAATGGTCCATCATGAGGAATGGGGGGGGGGTTTAGGTAAAAAAAATAGGAAAAATTTTAATAGTCTAGCTCCCTATTAGTGAGAGTTGTGTTGTATTGCTTTCTCTTCTCATTTACAATTCTCCTCATTTGAGCTTCGTTACAGATATAAAAGTTATGCAACTACAGACCAGGGAAGATTTGGGATGGCCAAAGTGAAAGATAGCTGCAAATGTAAAGCTAATGTACCATCAAAAACAAATGAGGTTTCTGGGACTGTGGCTGAGTAAGAGGAGGAGGGAGGCACAGGATTTCCGTCTTGCACGCACGACTGCATGACTGACTGTTCCCAAGCCTGGACACGATCTGTGGGAGTGGGAGCAGATCTGAGTGCTCATGAAGCAGGTCTTTCAATCCTTCTGCTTAACGCAGGAAGCAAGAAGGGGCGTCCAACACGGTGCAGGCTAGGTAGTGGCAAAGACTACTTCTGTCTTTACTATGACAGGCTAGGCTATTATTTACTGATCACTGAAGTCGTGGTTACACAGTGCACCATTCCCCAAGTCGAAAAAGTGACCACATGACTTCCTTAAGAGGATCTCTATCAAGTTGCCTAAGGAGCCTTGGTGGCACAGTGGTTATGAGTTGGGCTGATAACTGCAAGGTCAGCGGTTCAAAAGCACTAGCTGCTCCATGTGAGAAAGACAGGGCTTTCTACTCCTGTGAAGAGTCACACTCTTAAAAACTCACAAGGGCAGTTCTACCTGTCCTCTAAGGTCACTACTGAGTCACCATCAACCCAATGGCAATGAGTTTGGTTTTGGTTTATTGAATTGCCAAAGGAAACTAAATAACACAGCTTTGTAGGCAGATAAAACAAGCATTCAACCTAAATTCTGTTTGAGCATGATTTAAGTTTCCTAATGCTTCTGTTCAGACCCAGATTAAAAGCTACACCCTCAGCAGACACATGTTGTGTTATAATAATAGCTCCGTGTCTGAGATGTTTATCCATCACAAACCACATCTTACCAGAAAACTTAAATCTCACAGACCGGGGGCCAAAACATGCCAACAAATCCCAGCTGTTGACATCTTGCTGATGAACAAGCTACTCCTTTGAGGATGATATAGACCAACTGCAGCCGAGCCCCTTCTGACCTTAGGGAGAGCGGAGAGCTGCCCGGCAGGGTCCACAAACCAGCCACGCTCTGTGCAAGTAGACTCCCTCATCTTTTCCTGATGGAGAGGTTGCTGGGTTCAAACCCCTGGCCCACTGCTTAGCAGCTGAGTGTTTTAAACACTGTGCCACCAGGACTCCGTTTGTGATGATATCATAAAGCTTTCTATTTCCTTAGGTTTTACTGAGAATGTATATATGTGAAGTATAATGCGCAACTGATATTCTATTTGAAAAATAAAACCAACCAGAGGAAGCCTTGGTGACATAGTGGTTTCACATTGGGCTGCTGACCACATAGTCAACAGTTCAATACCACCAACCACTCTGTGGGACAAAGACGGGGCTTTCCACTTCCATAAAGAGTCATGGTCCCGGAAACTGTGCAATTCTTTCCTGTCCTATTGGGTCACTATGGCTCAGAACCATCTCAATGGCAGTGAGTTTGGGTGTTTTTGTTTTGTTTACGAAGGAATCTCATAATGAGAAAAATCTGAGCCCCTGAAAGGTGTGTTGAAATTTCTAAGTCATGGTTGGCTGCTAACCAGAAGGTTGGTGGTTAGAACCCGCCCCGTAGTTCTTTCTCTCAAAGAACTGGCGGTCTGTGCCTGTAAAGATTACAGTCGAGGAAACCCCAGGGGACAGGAGCACAGCTTTCACACGGGTGACTTTGAGTTGGAATCAACCTGAGAGCCCTGACCAGCAACAATAAGACCCAGGTGCATAGTCCACAAGCAAGAGAGGGCAGAGGGCTGATTAAAATGACCACGGTCATCTGAAAATCCCTGGCTGGAATCCATGGACTCTACTTTCTGAGGGACTCTTAAGAGCACGATAGCTCCTTAACCTCACTGAATGCTGTTTCCTCATCTATAAATGGGAATACTTCACAAAGTTGTTAGAATTTCACAATGTAGACTAAAATGCACAGGCCATACTAAAAGTGTAATAAAGACAGGCTGTTATTCGAAGGCATAATTACAATGAATACAGTTCTGAAAAGAGGGTTAATTGCACCAAAAGTCAGGAATGCAGAGACTAAGCTCATTAATAGGTGTTTGGTCAACCTTGCAAAACTAGAGTTATATCTCTAGGCCTCAAATTTCTTCTGCATAAAATTAACATTGGATCATTCTACATTCAGCCCTACAATTTTACAAGTTAGGGGTATCATACCTGTAATACCGGAGGAACAAGAGGGTAGGGAAGCTAAATCTTCATCCCAACACAGAGCCTGGGGAACTACAACAGGTAGTTCACACCCTCAAAAATGGGGAGAGTGCATCAGCACCTAGCACAGTCCATACCAAAACCACGTTAGGGGCATCACATGGCTTACGACTCATCGTGACCCTATGTAAGTGTTCTCTTTGGCTTGTAAACAACTAGCGTAAAAGATGCATGCTCTGGCAGAAATTTCTAAACGTCCTTCTGAAACATAAACATTTTCAAAATTAAAACATGTATGCTAGTGCTTATTCAGTTTCTAGAATTCTATTTCAAGGTCATTTTAAAGTTTAAAAAAAATTCTTAAAAGCCCATTACCACTTTAATCAAAAGAGCAATTTCAAGTAATTGACAATGCCAGTTATTTCTAACACAAATTTAAGATTATTCTTTTCCAGTCCACTTCCCTCTCTGTGATTACGTATTTTCCAAACTAGAAGAACAATACCTGAATGGCCCAGTGAGGTGGTACCTGGCAGCAATAGAAAATCTTCAGTCGTTCCAGTACCGAGGTCGTTGTATCTTCAAATTGGTCTGCAAGAGCCTAAGGGCACAGTCTCCAATTAGCATCTACATGTGTAACGACAGGTTAATAAAAAAGTCTTATAAAAGATACATGAACATATATACAAAGGAGGTTAGGATGCATGAGGTTTTTTTAATTATTGAAAGATTAAGCCAATTATAACCTAGCCAATATTGACACACACTAGTCAAGATATTTATTATCAGGAATTTTTTTTAAAATAAGATATTCTATAATGGTTCTTTAAAAGAATTAGGCTTTTATTTATTAGCCTTGTACTCTATTTAAAAACTCTCCTTAGTACATATCCATTTCATAAGCATAACGTGAAATCTATTTGTGACTTGCAAAATACTATGACTGTTTTTGTTGTCGGGGGCCATCAAGTCGGTTCCAATTAATAGCAACTCTGTGTTCAACAGAGACACTCCGCCATCACGCACCCTCTGAAGACTCAGCGCTATGCTCGAATCCATTGCTGTAGCCCTGTCTCAACCCAGCTCATTGAGGGTTTCCTCACTGGGCCTCGACTGTGCCGGACACATTATCCTTCTTCAAGGACTGGTCCTTCCTGATCACAGGCCCAAAGTACATGAGGAGCGCTCACCCTCCTCACTCCGGGGAGCATTTTAGTTGTGCTTCTTCCAAGACGTTTGCTTGTCCTCCTGGCAGGCCATGGTCACATTCCTCGTGAACACCACTAATTTCAATGTGCCAGTTCTTCTCGGAGTTTCCTTCCTCGTTATCCAACTGTCACATACATAGAAAACAACTAAAAAGATCATGGCTGGCGTCAGCCACCTTGGCCCGCAAAGTGGTGCCTTTGCTCTGTAACACCTTAAAGAGTCTTTTGCAACAGATTTGCCCAAACCAAACTTGTCATTTGTTTTCTTGGCTGCTGTTTCCATGAGCATTGCTCCAAATAAAATAAAATCTTTGACAACTTCAGTCTTCCTTCCAGTTATCCTGATGTTGTATACTGATCCAGTTGTGAGAACTTTTGCTTTGTGTTTCGGTAAGCGCCCTGGTGGTACAAGGAGTTACTCACTGGGCTGCTAACCACAAGGTCCACAGTTTGAAACCACCAACAGCTCCAAAGGAGAAAGATGAGGCTTTTACTCCCATAAAGAGTTACAGTCTCAGGAACTCACAGGGGGCTAGTTTTACCTGTCCTATAGGGTCAGAGTAAACTTGATGGGCAATGGAAACACCATCACCCCCCTCCAACCTTTTCTTTTATGTTGAGGTAATCCCTTTTGAACATTGTTAAAGTGCCTCAAGTCCTCCTCCTTTAAAACAAGAAAAGCTATGTCATCTCCATATTGCAGATCATTAATACCACAGTTTTTTTGGGGGGGCGGTGCAGGGGGGTATATCTGACCTCCACTGGCTTCCCTATGGCCACAAGGCAGAAGTCACACATGCTTCCACCCTCCATCTTTCTGTACTTGATACCAACCTTTCCTCCATGGTACTCTACTGCTTTTTGTTGGGTTTGGTAATTCATTGCAATGGCCACAGAGCATGCACAGACAATACTCACAACTGGCGGGTAGAAGTTTTAGGGAAGTTAACAGGTTACCACAAGCCAGGACCAGAAAACATTAAGGGGTCCACAGCAACACCTCTGTAGTCAGCAGCCAAGTCTCTCCCCACATGCTCCCTTGATCCATCTGTGAGTCAGAGAGGCAAGCTACTGCTCTGCCTCCCAGTCTCACTGTCTTCTGTTCTGTCTCATGGTCTCCTTGCCTCAGCCTCTGTTGCCTTTGGTCTCAGCCTTACCACCTCAGACAAAGATGTTGACCGTGCTGCATTGGTGGCTCTTCTTCCAGTGGTCCTGGGTTTGTCTCTACACACCTGCCACCGAGATGGCTCTTACACACAGAGGGAGAGCTTTGAGGGGAGGTCTGGCATTTGTCTTTCAGTAGTAGATCACACTGCCAAAGAAATGAGGGTGGTGCCTTGGTTCACACTGTTTTAAGGCAGAAACTTAAGAAGCACTTACCTTCATCCTGTAACCGAAAAATCCCTCCAAAATGGGATTCTAACCACAGACATAGAAGTAACTGACTACATCTCAGCCTTCCTCCAGTCTAGATGTCACATACAGTTTTTTTTAAATATATATATATATATACATACATACATACATACATACATACATATATATATATATATACACACATATATATATAGAGAGAGAGAGTCTGGATAATGCTATTTCTTAATCAGAGAAAAATTATATGAAGCACTATTTTATATATTCAAATATTTAAGACTTTTTATTAGGAATAAAATTTTTTAGAAAAACAATGTATGCATTGCATTAAACAAATTGGCTGCAGGAGACATCTTAAGGTTTTGAAAAGGAACAATGTTATTTTGAGGACTGGGGTGCCTTCCACCCAGGCCACAGGATTTTCAGTCACCTCACATGCAAGTGTAAGTTGGACACTGAGTAGGGAAAGCTGAAAAGAATCTATGGCATTTGAATTGCGGTGCTGGCCAAGAATACTGAAAATACACGGATTACCAAAAGAACCAACAACTCTATCTTGGCACAAGTACAGCCAGAATGCTCCTTAGAAGGATGGTGAGACTTTGTCTCAGTGATTTGGACGTGGTATAGGGTGACAGTCCCTGGAGAAGGACATCATGCTTGGGAGAGCAGAGGGCGGCAGAAAAGAGAAGACTCTTGAAGAGA